CAGGAGGAGCCACTGTGAGGTCCAATGAAGGAGGAGCAGCTGCTGCTCCCATCAGTCTGAGTGTTCGGAAAAGAAACTAAAGCTTCGTGTGACTCTGAACACTGCTGTAAAATGTTGACCTGAGTGTCGTTAATATCCGTCATGGTGATGTGTTTTCAATAAAACTGGCAATGATCAATAAAACTGTTTGTTTTCTTTTTTGTGTCAAGGCATGAGAAAAAACAAACTTTTAAATTATGTGAGGAACATCCATTTAAGCCAGTTCAACTTTTCAAATAGAGCAATTAGAATTATGATCCTCAACAATAAATGAAAGAACAAAGATTGATGTTAGCATCAATAAATAATGTAACCAGGTCGAGTCAGGGCCTCTGGACAAATTCTTCATTGTTGAAACGTTTCATCTTTTATCCAGAAGACTTCTTCAGTCTGAAACTTCAGTTTTGGATAAAAGACTAAACATTTCAACAAGAAGAGTCAGTCCAGAGAAAGTGACTCAACGTTGTTTGATTTGATTATTGAGCATGCAGCAGATCAATTAAAATTGAATTCATTTGAATAGTGGACACTAAAACCCATGGGTGTGATGATTCAACATTCATCTTTATTACTAAGATTATTAGGAAGCAGGAAAACTATTTTCTCTGTTTTTATTTTGTAAACTTTCCTAAATTTATATAAAAGCCACATTGTCATGTACAATAAACTGTCTGCTTGTTCATCCAACCTTTATTAATACAGGTTAGTCTCATTGAGCCTCGAGGACTCATTTACAAGAGAGACCTGATATAAACAAAGAGTGATGATGACAGTGGACAATCATAAAAGCATATGAAATGAAAAGTACACAAAGGAAGTTATATAAACAAACAAAAGCAGCTATAAAGCGATGTAGAAAACTAGGGTGCAGTATCGACTAACAAGAATCGACAAACTCTATCCACCTTATTCCGGATTTGGCGCCACTACCCATAATTCATAGCGGAAGCCGGTTGTTTACTTCCGCCCGCGATCCCGCGCTGTTGTTTACGTTTGTGGGTTAACACACTTGCTAGCAATTTAATGTTTTTGACACAAAAGTTTCCTTTACCTGAAGTAAATGGCAGCACATCAGAGGTGGATACATTGCAAGGATGTTTTAAAAAGCTGCGAAGATAAGTCGTTAACTGTGTCTCACCCATCATTTCTCACGGACTGGGTAGATGATATGAAATCATGGCCCGGAATTACCTACATCGATATTATTAATTACCTTGTTTTTTCTGAAGGCGTCGATGGCGAGGAATTGCGGAATTATAAAAGCACAGAGGCGTATAATTACCTCCACAGCAACAAAATAGATACAGTTTTGCTCAAGAAACAAGGCGACTTTATCTTTCTGAAAGCAGCTGTTGAGCCGAGCCAGAGCGTTGGTCAAGCTAAACACTTAGCATGGGTCATGCTCAGAGAAAGTGGAGTGGTAGAAACGGTCGGCTGTTCCTGTATCGCCGGATTGGGAAAATCATGCAGTCATGCGGCAGCTATTCTGTGGAAGGTATATCACTTATCTGGATATCAGAATATTTACATCACTGAATCAGAATCACTGAACTGGGCGAAAGCTGTGAGCTTCCTGTCTGCCTGTGTTTACATGTGGAAGCCAGAGCATTGTGCAGCCTGTGATCTACTGTCAAAAAAAATTAAACATTAAAAAGGCTGTACAGTATTTTTATATTATTTGTTTTTAAAAAAGTACAGACTGGATGCAAGGCAACCTAACATTTACAGAAAAGGAAAAAATAAATGACAACAGCAGGGATGTAAATAACTTGTTTCATTTTATTAGGAGCAGTGATAGCTGAAGTCTGTTAAATTGTTACAGGTCCAGAATGCTGTGATCAGTGGAAAGACGGGGCTAGCATGTACAGATGAGCAGCGCAGGTGGAATGCTGGGACAGCAAAGAATCTTCAACCCAAACGTCTAAGCATGATAAACTTCAGACACCACAAGGCAGAGCAGCAGTATAACATCAACTCAAGGGCTGCAGACACGATTAGTCTTTATTTTCATAAGTGTTATAAGGACTTGATCTTGTACAGGCATTGTAAATTCATTGTTGTCATCTCCTTCCAGTGCTGACACAAGAGTGTTAAATGTTTCTAACGCTATACCAGTGTACAGCAAAGCGTCTGCGTCATTTTGTAGAAGAAAAAATGCAACTTCATCACACTGAGTCGTCTTGTCCTGGACATCTTTTCTGCCAGAC